GCCTGACATTAGTTTTTAATGGCTTTTTCTCAAGTAACATGTTTAGTTTTTCAGAACAGTGACAGTTTTTCAGAAGAGTGAAATTAATTTCTGTAAAATGCTACATTGGTTGCTAGCTTGCTAGATTCAAGTTTTATGCAATTGTTTCAAAACTATAATGTACCGGTACTCTCAGATGGTATTTCTCATTCTAGTTAGTCCTGATTTACAGCAGGTGGCACCACTTAGCTGATCTTGGCCCATCCTGAAGTAAATTCAGGGTCACTGAATTAAGCATTTGAATGGGAGGCCACTAGAAAATCCAAGGGCTCTAACTCAGGGGTCTCCAACCGTGGCAACTTTAAGCCTGGAGGACTTCAACTCCCAGAATTCTGGGAGTTGAAGTCTTCCAGGCTTAAAGTTGCCACGGTTGGAGACCTCTGCAAGTTAAACTGAGACATCTCCCCATTTGCCCAAGGGACCTTGAAGAAGACATTAGCAACCACTTTCCATGTCCTTGACAGAATTGTGTCCATAAAGTTACTGCGGTAGTAAATTCAAGGAATTTTTAGTTTTAATCTAGCTCTGAAAATTAGGGCAAGGGTAAAGATGGCTGGAAATTTTTAATAAAAATATGATTCTTCAGGTAATTCCAGCCTGACATTTTACACAGACTTTGTTTTGGAATTTATCCCAGCAGGAACTTGCCTTATGGTTTTTCACAGTGAATTTAGTGTATTTTCCATTTAAATACAAACAACTTCATGGACAAAAATGTGTATTAAATCCCTCCAATGTTAGGTCCCTAATCTACTCATCAAATCATACAAGAGGATCTATATACCTATAACAATCTACCCCCAGAGATACGAGTGATCCCAGACCTCCGGACTTTTCGTCGGGCCCTTAAAACCTACTTCTTTCAGTTAGCCGGGCTGTCCTGATTTTATGATGGGTTTTTAAAATTTGAAATTGGTTTTAAATTGAAATGTTTTAAATTATGGGCCAAATTATTTAATTATTTTAAATCTATTTTAACTTTTGTGTATAAAGTGTTTTACTTTGGCTGTTCACCGCCCTGAGTCCGAAAGGAGAAGGGCGGTATAGAAATCTGAAAAATAAATAAATAAATACACAAATTTTAGTGGCAAAAATAGAAGATAAATACTAGGGTAATTTGAGACGGCAAAGTGACTGCATATATACAATCCTATTTGCAATTTTCCTTTGATATTTTTTATGTTCTTGAACTCTTGAACTGATTTCATTGGAATTTTCCTGCTGTTTCTATAAATGAGTAATTTTTCTATAGAAATGTCTTTAAATATCTTTAGAGAGAAAAAATATCTCTAAAGCTATAATCTTATGTAGTATCTCTGAAGATAACAGTCTAGACATGTTCCAGAAACCTGCCCTGGAGCTAATGCCTCTTATTAGTTGGGTTCGTATGTTTTCCTTATAGAAAAAATATTCTGGTCTGCAATCAGGCTACTTAGCTAACAGTGGTTTTTAAACCACTCTCAAACCAGAAATATACAAAACATGATTTGATAACTTTAAAATGCATGTACTATTAATTAGAAGTCTGTTATATTTTGGGGAAAAAACATTGATTTTATCTATTATGTCACAGAGTTTAACATGAGCTGAGTCTAGAACTGCCTTTCTCTAAATATAAAAATATTATACCTTCTTGATCCTAATCAAAAGGCTAAGAAACCAAAATTATTGCAATCTGGTGAATCTTGTATTGGAAATCATTTTCACTCTTTTTCCCTTCCCCTGTAGCCCTCATAGCGAAGTCATGTTGCACTAAACGGGAAAAACAGGAAGAAAGGTTGATGCATGTTTAAAAGTGGCTTTCATTTAGAAAATGCAAAATTAAAACAGGTATTCCTATTATGACTCAGGAGATTATGAATATGGAATATGGACTCTGGTTAGAGGTGAACTACTTTTTAAATTAAATTAAATTTAAATTTAAATTAAATTTAGCTTCACAATTATATTAAATTTAATTTGCTTTATTTTATTTTTAATGGTGAAATTTCTAAAACCCACATCACAAACAAAAGAAAGAATAGCAATTATGCAGTGGAGGAAAAAACTCTAGATACATTATAATGAATAAAATAAAAGTGACAAAAGAAAAAAGTTAAGAGAAAAAGGATGCCTATAATAACTATAGATAATTTAACAATATAAAGTTAATTCAGTTCTTATGTTTATCATTAAATCTAGAACATGTAGGAACATATTGCATCAATTTATCGTTTTGACAGTAAAACATAGACTTTTTCAAAAATAGATATCCACATCCTGCAGTCAATCCTTAAAATCAAAAAAATAAATTTATTTCCATTTACATAAAATTATCCTGTGAACCCATCAATAGAATCCTGTCTGCAAATGTCCCTAAATTTAATGCCTCCAGTTATTCACAAAACTATGTGAGTGAGATACAACAACAGCCAAAGGCACTCAACTATTGGGATATTATGCAACCTTCACTATTTGGCTATTTGGTTCATTGTATTGCGAAAACTGAAAACATAGTTAGTTCTGGAACGAGATTAGGCATACTGTGTGAACCCAGCAACAAAGGACTGTGCTCTTTTATCAAGGATTAATTCAACCATGGTTTATTCAATTAACCCAATATTCTGGGTTCACAAGAAACAATGAACTACGTACTAACCACACAATGCTGTACCCAATCTTTTTTTTTTTCCAAACTTGATGGGAAACTTTATTTGAACACAATTGTTTCTCTATCATTAGACTCTCTGGATCGAGGGACCTTGGATTTTTTTTAAGTAACAGGTTCCAGGGCTTGAAAATATTGGGAAATCCTGTAGTTTTCAATTTGGGGGCATAGGATATTTCAAGGAGGCAAGGTGAAAATATATTGATGAAATGGCTGACAATTTTGAAAAACAGTCTCCCAGTTAAATAATTTGCTCTGCAAATGGATGAAACATAATTACCAGATATTGCAACCATGTTGATGGCTTTTGTTAGTAATGGTTTTGTTAATAATAAACTCTATTAACTCTTTTAAGTTTAGAGAAGAAATGCTTTTCACTCAAAAGTTTAAACAGATCCTAAAGGCGAAACTATTTTTGAAGTAGTAAAGAGTTATTTCAGCGAGAATCTCTCAAAAACATTATGGCTTGTACTACCCGGTGGTGCTATTTCCATGACAGGTGGATACAGAGGATTTATTTTTGAAAGGTCCTGTGTGCCATTAGTGTTTTGTGTTCACTGCATGGTTCACTAGCAACATTTGATTTTTTAAAAAATTGGCAGGACGTTGCATGAGTCTCTAAGTGTTGTAATAAAAGTAGTCAACTGTATAAAATTGAATCCACTTCAAGATCACGATTTGACAGCTTTGCAAATGAGGAAGACTTTTAAACTCTTATTCCATGAAAAAGTCTGTTGGTTATCAAAGGGGAACTGCCTTTGTGGTCTTGTTGCTTTGTGGGAGATGGTTGTGGGTCCCTTCCCACAGTAAACAAAAAGAAGATCACCTCCACTAAGAATGTCATTTTTACCTCTGGACTAGTGTCAAGAGGTTTGTTAGATAAGAAAGTATAACCTTTTATCATGTAAAGAGATCATTATGGGATTTCTTAGAAGGCAGAAGCTGTATGCAAAGTGTGTTGGGAATTTGCCCACTTTTCTTTTTTGGCAGCAACTAAGTCTTGAATTGAAAGATGACAACCTTGTATATGTGGATCATTTGAAGTAGTTGCATGATACAGAAGTTGCATGATACAGAAGACCTGCTAGATATAATTAATCTGGATCCATTCCAGGTGAATGCTGCTGATATTGCCACTACATTTGGGGGGGGGGGGCACTAGTTGAGAGTGATTCAGAAACCCAAACAAGTTTTAAGAGAGCAGCATTTTGGGGGCAAACGAGTAATTTCCGAAAAGTTTCCATACCTTTGGAAGAAGAGAAGCCTGTTTTTCATGGCATTTCCCACATTATACTTGGTGGGTGAGTTGTTAACACAAGTGTGCAGCTGCTTGGACATAGTGAACAGAGGTAGTTTTCACTTACCATTTAATACAGTGAAACCTGACATATTTTGTGTGTGTGTGACTTGTGGTTTTGATGATTAGAAAGTCATGGAAAGATTAGGATTAAATTAGAGAAAGCGGCTCGATTAGAACTGTATATATAACTGCCTAGAGCAGTGGTTCTCAACCTTCCTAATGCTGCGACACTTTAATACAGTTCCTCATGTTGTGGTGACCCCCAGCAATAAAATTATTCCTAACACCATTGAAAAGAGCCTTGATAGTACAGGGGTTTAGTGCACCCTGTCATTAACACAGCTGCCTGCAATTTCTGCTGGTTCGAATCTCTCCAAGGCTCAAGGTTGACTCAGCCTTCCATCCTTTCTAAGGTAGGTGAAATGAGGACCCAGTTTGTGGGGGCAATAAGCTGACTTTGTATAAAATATACAAAAGAATGAAGGCTATTGCTTAACGCATTGTAAGCCGCCCTGAGTCTCCAGAGAAGGGCGGCATATAAATCAAATTTAAAAAAAATATATATGTGTTTTCCAATGGTCTTAGGTGACCCGTGAAAGGGTCGTTCGACCCCCAAAGGGGTCCCGACCCACAGGTTGAGAACCACTGGCCTAGAGGGATATCGGAAGTCATTTCTTTATATACTCGTGCGTTGTCTTTTTTTAAAAATCTTTTTCTTATATTTTTTTCTACTCTTTTCTTTTTTTTTTGTATTTATATATACATTAACAAAAATGTATATAAAATTACATTCAAAGCAAAATTGTGTCTATCATCGCAAATTGCATTAGTACCAATATTATAAGCAGAAAAAAAAACATATATTCCATTTACAAGCCAAGCGTGGATAAATGTGGATTTATTTATTTTTTTCCCCAACAGTAATGGGACCCGAAGGAGCCTTCAGTAAAGCAGCGGAGGCAGCAGCGGCCTCTCTCGCATAGACGCTCCTCCCGCTTCCTCTTGTGGCGCTCAGCCAGGCAAAACAAAACCAGCAAGGGGGTGCCGCTGGCTGCCGCCCTTTCAAGTCAAGAGGGAGAGGCCGGGAAGATGTGCGCGTCTTCGTAGAAGGTGGCCGAGAAGAGCCAATATCGGGGAAAGGCCCGCAGCATCTAGGAGGGGCCAACTCTCAACGACCGGGCACCGCTCCCACAGACCCTCCACACAGGAAATCGTGGCCTATGCAAAGCAGGACCTCAGGTTTCCCCGGTGGCGATAAACGCGGGCGCCGCCTGGGCAAAGCCATTCCCGCCCACCTTCCCGCGTGAAGCGAACATCCGCCCACCCGTGACGAAAGGAAAGCGGTGGCATCAGGGATTCCGGGCGAATCCGGAGACAAGCGGTTCGGGAAAAGGAGAGAGAGGAGTCGCTGAGCGGCTCAACCCGGCGCGATTATGGAGACTTTCTGCGGCTCCAGCTTTTGGGTAAGGAGGGGGGGGGCTCTCTTCAAGCAAAAGCGCTTCTTCCTCCTCCCGGATATTTAGACGTTTCACGCGCGCCTTGGAGACGAGCGCGTGCTGAAGTGCGGGTTCCCCCGGTGTGGGAAGGGAGTTTCCGGAATGCCCCAACGAGGAAAGCGCGGCTCCTTCGTGGGGGGAGGAATTGCTAAACAGCCGGATCGCGTTTCCCAGCCAGAGCAACCGCCGCTGAAATTGTGTTTAAAAAGGGGAGGAATGGGATGGAATGGAAAGGAGTCCGGGTTTCAAACGTCTGCTAAACTCTCCTTTAGCCAAGCTTTGGATGAGCTGCACTTCGATTGTTGGGGATGGAGAAAAAGAAGCGTGTAGCTCGGAGGTTGGCAACCCGGTCTGCTCCAGATGTTGCGTGGTATTTTTGCTGGGTGTTAGACTAGAGTTCTGTGGCACCTTTCATCCTAGAGTTCAAGGGATTTCGCCTGGGATCTCTCCCCGTTTTATCGCCAGAACAGCAACCGGGAGAGTTCCCTGGGGCTGAGAGGGAATAACTGACCCGAAGTCCGTCCTTGAGCTTTCTTTCCTGGTTGAAGGGGGCCTCACACCTTTTATTCCGCTGGTGGTAGTTTAACCTCTTAATTGTTACCCCATCCTGGCGCTCATCTCACACAATTCCTAGTTGTTGGCCATGCTGTCTAGGGTAGATGGGGAACTGAAGTCTGAAACTCTTCTATATTGCTACCTCTGGATACATGCCAGGCATACAGACCTCTCCGCTGGAGGAAGGAGGGCAGGGCTGAGGTGCCTCCAATGTCGTGTTGTAGAGCTGCTTAAAAGTAAAGTTGAAGGTACATCTGGAGAATTCTCGTGATGCATTGATTTCAACCTTCTTACTTTAACCCAGTGGTGGGATTCAGCCAGTTCTCACAACTTCGGGAGAACCGGTTGTTAACTTTCTGAGCAGTTTGGCAAACTGGTTGTTGGAAGAAATCATTAGGGCAGAGAACCAGTTGTTAAATTACTTGAATCCCACCACTGATTTAACTCCACAATAATCCTGTGAAGTAGGTGTGCGTGCTCAACCGAAAGTCACCAGCTAAGCTTCTGTGAGAGGTTGGGTGTCCCTGGTCCTTCTCATGTATCGTGCATTTCACTAGTTGGAGGCTAAACGGTGCAGTAAAATAATCTTTCAGTTACCAGTAGAATAAATAGAATAGATTTTTTTATTGGCCAAGTGTGATTGGACACACAAGGAATTTGTCTTTGGTGCATATGCTCTCAGTGTTCATAAAAAGACAAGATACACTCATCAAGAATCACAAGGCACAACACCCAGTGACAGTCATACAGTACAATATGGTACATGAAAAATGAGACATTATACTGTTAGTGTGTCTTGTATTACAGAAGTGAAATGTGATGGGAAAATAATACATCTTTGTTCTTTGAAAAATAAGTTTCATCGCAGGTGTTGTAGTGCATATGCCACGTACTGGGAAGTATGTTAGAAGATTAAGAAAATGTATCTATCGAAAACTTGTAACCCTTCTCACAGATATGTATATGCTTCTCTTCCAAATGATGTAACAAAGCACATGCATACCTGTTCAGATTCCAAAAACATCAAACTGCATTTTAAGATGAATAGAAACATGACTCTTTTACCTGTTGATTGTCTTTATAAAGGCAAATGAGGTTACTCCCTAGCGCTGCAGATTAACTATAGGATACCTGACTAAACAGGTATTTTTACTCTCGTTACTACAATTCTATTTTATTGTGGTGCTGTGTAGAACCGATACAAGTTTGAACAAGAGACTTGGCATCTATTCACCGATGATTACAAATGACTCATCGTTATTATTGGAATTTCACTCAGTCCTACATTGGATGGATAGACACAGGTGGTCCTTGATTTATGACTGTAATGGAACCTACCTAAGATATAAGTCATAACAGTTGTAAAGAAGGTCACCCACATGACTGACCTGATTTTATGATCTTTTTCCAGTCATAAAGCAAACACTGCAATCTTAAAGTGAACTTATTGTTCACTATGGGCCAGTTTTTTCCAAAAACTGGAAGTAAATGTTGGTTTTCAGCAAAACCATCATAAAACGCAGTCATGTAAGAATAGGAGTCTGCAAATAGCCTTAAATGTCAGCTGGGTGCCAAGTGTCTGACATGCAGTCACACGAACGTGATGTGTATGTGTGTGTGTGAAAACTTCAGAACCGGATCATTGGTACCCCCCAGGGATAACTTTGAATGGTCACTAAGCAACTGGTTGTAAATCAGGGACTGCCTGTACATTTTGCCCACCAAAGTTGTACTGGTTTGTTTGTGTGTGCACAGTAACAATATATCCTTGAGAGGACTGATTCTTGACAACAGTCCATACAGTTTTCTAGCCAGTAGTTTTGGAAGTGTTTGCCATTGTTGCTTTTTCAGAGCTGAAGAGGGGAGTAACTGGCCCAAAGTCACCCAGCTGGCTTTTGTAAATAAGGCAAGATGAAACTCATGTTTACTGGCAATAATGGGGTTGACTCTTTAATAAACAGACAGCTGCATTCTATTACTCAACAAAACCATTAATAACCAGAGGGTTCCAAGAACTGAAATGGGTACATATGCTGAGACTGGCCAAAAGACTTCCTGGCCGCAGCCTCTACCTGTTCTACTAGTGGGAGCCATGAGATCAGTTCTATTCCCAGATTATGAGCCTACATCAGACCTGGGAAGTCTGGCTCACAGCATCAGCGGCATTGGTGGTGGAGGGCAGGAGGTTGGCAGTGGGGGTTATGGAGCATCATTGGAGGGGGTGGGATAGTGGGGTAGGGTGGCAGTGACTGAGGGCAGGTGGTGGGATGGTGACAGGAAAGGCGGGGTGACAAAATGGAAGGATGGAGGCAGAGTGAGTGATAGCGGCAGCCTTCTGCAAGAGCCCCAGTTTTTCATATGGTCCCTTGGGAGAAATTAAATGCCCACCCCTGGCCTACACTTTTATTCTAGGAGCACAACCCCATATGAGCTAAAATTGGAAACATCTCATAACTATTGAGCTTCTAAAGCCATAGCTACTCCATTCTACTTGGACTAAACTTGATCTTGATTTTCCTATCTAGATCCCAACACTATTGCTTTGCTTCTAATAGGCTTCCAGGTGCAATTGAAGGTCTTGGGTATCCCCTTTCATGAAACAAGGCTAGGATCACCTGTCTCCAATTGTTTGTTTCTGCTTACCCCACAAAATTTGGCAAAGCGTGCATGCATTGAGTCCCAAATAAGAGGCAGCAGCATCTAAGGAACCCAGAAGTTGTGCCATCTCCGTCTTGCTACCTGCCCTATGGAACAATGTTCCCTCTGAGAGGCAAGTAATCTTAATCCTGCCACATCATCCATGAGCATAGACAGTTTGGTTTCCATCCCATATATACGCCTGACTCTTGCCTGAAATGGAACTTAGTAATCTGTTTTCTCCTTTTTAACTGCCACCACAACACCTCTACTACCACAGTCATGTCAGGAGTGCCAAAGCTCTTATGGGTTGAAAGGATTGAATAGTGACATCACTGTTGCCCAGGGGACGCCCATTTGGGGGCTCTTTTCATGTCCCCATTAAGTTGCCCACCGAAGTGGTACCCATTTATCTACTTGCAGTTGCCTGCATTTGAACTGCTGGGTCAGCTGGAGCACATGGTGGGAGCTCACCCTGTCCCATGGCAACACCAGGTCTCAAATGTGAGCCTGCTGATCATCAGCCCAGCAACCTAACCTTGTGAGCCACCACGCTCCACAAAACACTTCTACTAAAAAGGGAACAGTGCAGGGGTGAAATCTACTTACCTTCCTTACCGGTTCGGAAGCGTATGCGCCACTTGCATGCAGATGCGCAGAAGGTTAAAAACACATTACTTCCTGGTTACAACCAGGAAGTAGTGACACCCAGCCACATGGGCGGGGTTATGCTCCACCGCCGCTACCGGATTGCCAAACCACCAGCCAAGATTGCTACCTAATCGGGCGATCCGGTCCGATCCGGGAGCATTTCACCCCTGGAACAGTGAAGACCGAGCACTTGTCATCTAATACAATGAGATTCAAGGATGCCTTCTTGAACAAGGGGCATACCGGTGGAATAAAGCTCATATGTGGCAGAGGTGGACTCACAAGGAATACTATCCACTTCCTTAAACTCCATAGGCTCAGACGCTTTTAGCAGTTTAACAGAATTGGAAGGCACCTTGTAGGTCATCTAGTCCAACCCCTTGCCCAAACAGGAGACTCTGGCCTACACCATTTCTGACAGATAGCAGTCCAGTCTCTTCTTGAAAGCTTCCAGTGATGAAGCTCCCACAGCTTCTGAAGGCAGCTTCTGTTCCATTAGTTGATTGCTCTCACTCTCAGAAAATTTCTCCTTATTTCCAGGTTGAATCTCTCCTTGATCAGTTTCCATCCATTATTCCTTGTCTGGTCTTCAGGTGTTTTGGAAAATAGCTTGACCCCTTCCTCTCTGTAGCAGCCCCTCAAGTATTGGAACACTGATATCATGTCCCCCCTGGTCCTTCTCTTCATTAGATTATAGTATCACTCAATGTCACCCCTGTTACCTATTCAGAGTAAGTTTCCACCTCTCAGCAAATATGATTTTATCTGCAAAATGTCCTGCTGACTCATCACAGTGCTCTGCTATAGAGTCTTCCAGCGCATCATTCACAATAGGGGGAAAAGTACCACCAGATGGCAATATGTGGTAAATGCAACAAAGTCTTCAAACTTAAGTTTTGACAGTGTCTGTATCCAGTAATATACTTTTTTTCTTCTTCTGCCAATGCGTTATAAATCACTCCATTTCATGCAGCTCTTTAGGATATTAACTTAACTTCCAAGATTTGGTAAACAGGAAAAGCCCACTCAAGAGCAAACCTAACAACTTTCATGAGTTAAAATAGGTGCTCAATAGAGTTTTCCACCAGATCATTAGGAAAATTATACAAATGTCTTTGAAAGCC